CAACTCAGAGGGATTCGTACCCACGTCATACGTGCAGTGCCACTACTATGACCAGGACGCCGTCTAGGGGTCCGCTAGAGGGTAGCAGGTAGAAATAGAGCGGGGCGTTACTGAGATACAGACCAGTTTATCAAAAAGGAATGTGGAATATTTCACACACATAGAAGTTGTGTAGATTCTCAAACTTTACAGATGTATTATCTTTGTACAGCATGGTATACTCAAAACAAACATAACATTTTGATGAAAAAGTTCCCCTTTACGTTAAGATGTATGGGAATAACCTTCTTTGATACTAAATGTAAAAAGGAATAGAAAGGAATTGAATGAGAAAGCATTACTGGCATGGTGAAGTGCCATTTGCTACAAGAGATTGGAAAAGCAGGGAGAGATTTTTTTCACCAAATTTGAGTCGGTCTAAGAACGCTCACTACGGGCCAAAACTTTTGTTTATGTTTAACCAAATTTCTTTTTTGTTGATGACTGTATAGGATTGTGTTGATAATAAAGCTAAGCTAAACCTCCATGTATATAATTATGTTCTGTAACAGACTATAGAGTGTACCGCGTTACGTAAACGGGATATTTATCCAGATATGTATATACTGGGTACTGAAAACCATGAAAATACTGTTAGAAAATGAAACCAACAAATCTGCCTCCTCCTTAATTTGCCGTTTTAAGGATGCAGCAAACTAGAAGAAGGGTTTTTTTTGTACCTTGACAGAAAAAAATTCTCAGAGATTTTGATTTGACTGTGCAACTTTGTTTGTTTTTGTTTTTTATCAATGTCAGTGTCTTATTTATGCAAATTGAGTTGAGTTTTTTTTTAAGTGTGAAATGTTTTTTAAACAATTTTTTTGGATTCAGTGTAAAACAATTTAAGCATTGATGAATTCAGGATATAGTTACAGTTGTTTTGCACAAAATATGCAATTCGATTTGTCAGACACAAGTTGAATATGTTACGGAGTCATAGTCTGTTGTTAATACATGCAGACTGTTTTTAATTGTCTGGTTTTTGGTAGAAATTGACAAAACAGACTGTGAATCAATAAATAGATAGGCTGTGTTCATTTTATTACTGGTCTGTGTTGCTGAAATTTCCAAAATTTGGACTGTATTTAAAAATAATATGAATAACCAGTCTATTTCCTGTTTTGCATACACAGTCTATGAAATGTTTTGATGTATGGTGCTGAATAAATTTGCAATGTGCTTCAGAAGGAAATACTGCTGTTAATGCCACATTTGTTGTAGAACTTGGGTACATGTATTAGCATGTTTTGCTGTTAAGAAATTATTATTTACTACAATGATATTGCATAATTAATTGTCAGTTAATTTTTCAAAATGATCAATAAGATTTTTTTTCAGAAACCTAAACAAGACAATAATAGTTTCATTCTTTGTTGTTGATAAGTAAAGCCAGAGATCATTTTACTGACCTTTTTTCCCAATTTTGTAATGGATGATATTTCTTATATTCTGTGGGAAAAAAATTAGAAAAGAATATTGGGGGGGGGGGGGATTTGAAATATCAATGGCATCGTACACATCTGCAGTTCTGAATTTTCTCCCTTTATTTAAAAAAAAAGGTAGAGAAAATACAGTCAGAGATTCACTATGTCATTTATGTAATTTTCATTCAGGCCATTGATAGTAACCTTTGATAAGTTTTGATTTCCTGTTATAATCTTACACCAGGGTATCTTATGATTTGCCATATGTAAAGCATTTGGCTGTAAGGATTGCTGGTTATTTGTTCATTTTCACCTTCCAGAATCAAAATTTAAATAAGGAAATGATATTGCTCTTTTTTATATTGCTGTATGAAGCTGTTTGATTTCGATCATTTATTACTCATGCCACATAATACATTTGTTGATGCATTTCCTGAAACTGTTCAGGTAATCATACATGTGTTATTAAAAGTTATTATATCTACATTGTTGAAAACAATGTAGCCTTTGCATTTGAATTTATGACAAATAATGCCTTGATAATGGAAAATAACACTTTAGAATTTTTAAAAGAAAAAATAAAATTTTCAATGAAAATTACATGAATATTTTTTTTGCAAATGGTGTATCACTAAGAAAGGGAAGTTAAAAATCCATATTTACTTCCCTTTGATAACTTGCAAATGGTGAGACACTTGGAAAGGGGGGGTAATCAATGTGTAGATAGGTTAATTAGTATAAGCAATGCTGATAATTAAAACCATTATTGTAGATTATGTTTTAAAATCCTCTGTTATATGTACTGTGCAATACATGTAGAATGTTTTGTTGTTTTTATTTTAAAAGATTTTTTTTTCATGTTTTGTTGTAAAAATATAGGTCAGGGCATCAAATCTATAAAGGTACAGACTGATTTTTCTTTTTTGTTTTAGAAAAAGGTTTCTTTTTGTATCAAGTCAGCCTACATTAATTATGTGTGAATAAAATTTGTTAATTTCCTGTTTATTATGTACCCTGAAGAAGGCTGTTCGGCCAAAACGTTGGTATATTAAAGGGAATTATAGAATATGCAGTTTTTACTATTTATACTTTCTGTTTGTTATACCCCCACCACAAAATGTGGGGGGGGCTATAATGGATTCGCTTTGTCGCGTCGGTCAGTCGGTCGGTCGGTCGGGTCGGTCGGTCCGTCCGTCTCCATTTTCGTGTCCGCTCTACTAACTCCTATACCACTTGAAGGATTTTCTTCAAACTTGGCTCAAATGTTCACCTCAAGCAAGGGGATGTGCAGAACCCATTGTTGCCCATGTGTCAGCTCAAGGTCAAGGTCACAATTGAAGGTCAAATATCAAACACAATCATATATTAGACAGTAATGTCGTGTCCGCTCTGTAGGTCCCTACAATAATTGAAAGATTTTCTTTCAAACTTGGCTAAAATGTTCACCTCAACAAGGGGATGTGCAGAACTCATGTTGCCCCATGTGTCATTTTAAGGTCAAGGTCACAATTGAAGGTCAAATATCAAACAATCAAATTTTACACAATATGTCGTGTCTGCTCTGTAAGTCCTACACTAATTGAAAGATTTTCTTCAAACTTGGCTCAAATGTTTATTTCAACAATGGGATGTGCAGAACCCATGTTGCCCATGTGTCAGCTCAAGGTCAAGGTCACAATTGAAGGTCAAATATCAAAAAATCAAATATTACACAGTATGTCGTGTCCGCTCTGTAAGTCCTACACTTATTGAAAGATTTTCTTCAAACTTGGCTCAAATGTTCACCTCAACAAGGTTATGTGCAGAACCCATGTCACTCTTTTGCCGGCTTAAGGTCAAGGTCACACTTGAAGGTCAAAAATTGACTTAGAAAATGTTCTTTAATTTTAACATATATCTGAATATTTCTGAATCTAGGAAAAGTGTTTGCTTGAAACTTAAAATATAAACGAAGTGTCACAATTAAGATATGCTGGTCAAGTTTCATAACTCTGTATTGCATTTCAACAAAAGTTATGCCCCTTTTTAATCTTCAAAATATACATACAATCACATATTAGACAATATGTTGTGTCCGCTCTATAAAATCCTATCCTAATGGAAGAATTTTCTTCAAACTTTTCTCAAATGTTTTACTTAAACAAGGTTATGTGCAGAATCCATGTCACCTTTGTGCAGGCTAAAGGTCAAGGTCAGACTTGAAGGTCAAAAATTGACTTAGAAAATGTTCTTAGATTAAAACATGTTCTTGAATATTTCGGAAACTAGCATAGGTATTTGCTTGAAACTTAAAAGATATATGAGGTGTCACAATTACGATATGCAGGTCAAGTTTCATAACTCTGTATTGGATTTTGACAAAGTTATGCCCCTTTTTAAGTCTTTAAATTTACATACAATCAATACTAGACAATATGTTGTGTCCGCTCTATAAATTCTATACTAATGGAAGGATTTTCTTCAAACTTTACTCAAATGTTCACTCCAATTGGGCGATGTGCAGAACCCATCTTACCCTTGTGCCAGCTGAAGGTCAAGGCCACACTTGAAGGTCAAAAATTGACTTATAAAAAGTTTAGTATATTGGGAAAATGAAAGGTTATTTGTAACTGTTTCGAACATGATTTGATAATAGATATTTTTACTATTACCTGTACAATTATGTCTTTTTTTCACCAGAGATAATTTCTTTTTATGTATTTGTGTCACTTAAGTTATTCCCATAACCACCTTTCCAAGTTGTCTTCTGTCAAGGACATTGGTGGGGGTATGAATCGCATTCAGCGATAGTTCTAGTTTGTACAAGTACACTATATGTATTTGTATGTGCTAATTAAAGAAATATAGAACAAATGTACATGTATAAAAATATGATATACTAAATATTGTGTTAATTGAAATTTATATATTTTCTGAATTATATTAAATAAATTATCTACCTTCAAAGATAAAGGTTTATATTTTTAACATAAACCAAATTTTAAACAGAAGAACAGCTAAATGTGTCTTTAAAGGTCAGTCTTTCCCAATTAAAAAGTTAGTCTTAGATTCAATAGATTTACTGCATAGACGATGGATGTCAGTTACAGGTTCTTCTGTATGTGGTTTATAGGTGGTTATAAGCAAAGGTTTAATCATACATGAGCAGGTCATGTAATAATTAGTGATTAGTTAATTGGATATAAAATTTTAAAGCCATTCATATACATTTTAACATACAAGTTACATAATACTTTTCATTTTTATTGAATTTCAGAAAACTATATATATATTATTTAATTTTTTTTTATACTTTGTAGTCATATCTTGATAAATTCATTATTAATTCTATATAGTTTGTATTTCTTTTGCATTATTTTGTAATTATAATATGTATAGTATGAAATCCAAAGAAAACATAAACCCTCCCTTTCTTTCTTGTTTACCAACAGTCCAGCCAATGGTCTAGCCTCAATAATAGGCTAGCCTAACCAATGGTCTAGCCTAACCAACGGTTTAGACTTACCAGTGGTCTAGCCTCACTGATGGGCTAGACTTACAAATGGTCTAGCCTGACTTATACGCTAGCCTTACCAATGGTGTAGCCTGACTTATAGGCTAGTCTTACCAATGGTCAAGCCTCACTAATAGACTAGCCATATCAATGGTTTAGCTTCTCTAATAGCCTAGCCTTACCAATGGTCTAGCCTCACTAAAAGGCTAGCCTTACCAATGGTCAAGCCTCACTAATAGGCTAGCCATACCAATGGTCAAGCCTCACTAATAGGCTAGCCATACCAATGGTCAAGCCTCACTAATAGGCTAGCCATACCAATGGTTTAGCTTCTCTAATAGCCTAGCCTAATCAATGGTCTAGCCTCAATAATAGTCTACCCTTACCAATGGTCTAGCCTGACTTATAGGCTAGCCTTACCAATGGTCAAGCCTCACCCATGGTGTAGAGGACCAATATTGGTGTTGAGTTTTGTTTATAGTCTAGGGGTGAATTGATCATGTGGTTTATAACAACAGAAAAATAATGAGATAAAGGAAGTGTTGTCTTTTATTCTGAAAACAAATATGCGTAGGATAAATGGATTTAATTGGCACTTTTTCTAAAGGCGACCTTGTAGAAATTGTTATTACTTGATGGCAATTGATTTTCAACCAGGTTTTCCGAAGGAAAAAACTGGTTATTAGATTGAGGTATGTCGGCGGGCGGGCGGACGGGTGGGCGTTAACAATTTCTTCTGTGCGCAACTCCTCCTACCTTTCTCAATGGATTTTGACGAAACTTTCATAGAAGCTTTGTCATCAAGTGCCCTGGTGCATATTGTCGGGGTTTTATGATTGGATAATAATTGACCTAATTATGGCCCTTTGTTTTTTTTCCTTATATAGAATATATAGTGAACAATTTCTTCTGTGCGCAACTCCTCCTACATTTCTTAATTGATTTTGACCAAACTTTCACAGAAGCTTTGTAATTAAGTGTCCTTGCACATATTGTCAAGGTTTTGTGATTGGATAATATTTGACCTAATTATGGCCCTTTGTTTTTTTTCCTTATATAGAATATATAGTGAACAATTTCTTCTGTGCGCAACTCCTCCTACATTTCTCAACATATTTTGACCAAACTTTTACAGAAGCTTTGTTATCAAGTGCCCTGGCGCATATTGTCGGGTTTTCTGATTGGATAATATTTGACCTAATTATGGCCCTTTGTTTTTTTTTCCTTATACAGTATACATTAGGAACAGTTTCTTCTATGCTTAACTTCTACATTTCTCAACGTATTGTGTTCTAACTTTCACAAAAGCTTTGTCATCAAGTGCCCTGGCACATAGTGTTGGGGTTTTGTGATTGGATAATTTTCGACCTAATTATGGCCCTTTGTTTTTTTCCCATATACAGAATATATAGTGAACACTTCTTCTGTGTGCAATTCCTCCTACATTATTCATGATTTACATTGCACATAGTTACATTGTTTGTTGCTTGTATTTGTATTTCAACTTCAACATATTTATCTACAATGGTGATAATTGAAAACCTGGTTTCATGGCATTGCCATGTTTCTTGTGTTTATATTTTTCTCTGTTTGATGTTCTTGAAATGGTCTTGTATAATATACAAAATTGAGTAGAATTTTTTTGTATGTGTCTACAAAAAAAGGTTATTATATGTTCAGAATTGTATAAAGTTTGTCTGTACATTAGATTGGTGCAATTCAATGTTAAGTATTTGAAAGTAATGTTTCTTAAATAGTTCAACTCGTCAACTTTTGTACAAAGAAAATGCGTCCTTTTTAACAAAACTGTTTTTGTATATATTTTGTATGTAATGTTTTTGATAATTGAGCCGTGTCACAACAAAACCAACATAGTGCGTTTGCGACCAGCATGGATCCACACCAGCCAGCACATCCGAGTAGTCTGATCAGGATCCGTGCTGTTCGCTAACCAACTCTATTACAAGTAGAGGAACTGATAGCGAACAGCATGGATCCTGATCAGACTGCGCGGATGCGCAGGCTGGTCTGCATCCATGCTGGACGCAAACCCATTATGTTGGTTTTGTCGTGACGCGGCTCAATTATGTTTTGAAAACCGATTCTGATAATAAGCCAATGAATGATTGATAATCGATTTATTGGGAGGAAAAGATATTATGTAAAAGAAAAAAATTAAATTTTGAATTTAAAGAAGGAAAATGTTTAAACAGAAAAAAAAATGATCTAAAAGAATTTTTTTTCTGAAAATTTATTGTTTCTATTGATTGTGTTGGAAACTAAGACTGATTATTAAGTCATAGTGCAAAACAACAACAACAAAAACACGTTCAGCTGCTAAATGCAATTTGTTCTATGAAAAGAGTTTTCCTATAAAGTTTTTTAGCTCACCTGAGCTTGCTCAGGGTGAGCTTTTAGGATCGGTGAATGTCCGTCGTCCGTCGTCCGTCGTCCGTCCGGCCGTCCACAATTACTTGTGAACACTCTAGCGGTCGCATTTTTGCCTCAATCATCATCAAACTTGGTCAGGATGCTTATCTAGTTGAAAGCTCGGATGAGTTCGAACATGGGTCATCTCGGATGAAAAACTAGGTCACAAGAGC